AACCCTAACTGAATTCCCAATCCAATACGTACTAGGGAGGTGTGGCAAAGAAGACAAAATTAAGGAAGGATGGTCTTTTACTGGATATCGCTTTTTTACTTTGACTTGAAAACTAATTTTGACAATTTTAATTGGATTAGAATAGCAAATCTTTTATTCCTTACTAATAAAAATGGGTGTAGAAAACATTCGAACCCTAATTTTACATCATAGAATCTAGGTCACTAAAATTATTCTCTGTCAAGAAGAAGGCTCAATTAGATTTTCAATTGCTAACACCTCCAAATATCTAGTCTTTTTAGAATCCTGAATCACATGTGTGGATCATCACTAGAGGAGTAATTCACTTCAACTCTTGGAGGCTTCATCAAAGGATAGTTGTCAAAGTTATGCAACAACAAGGCACACATCATTGAGATAATGGGTCTAATGACCATGAACCTCCTTAACCATCAATAGATTCATAAGGGTTTAAGTGGGTTAAATGGGAAATTTTTAATTTTTATCTCTTTTGTTGTGCTTTCTTAAACCCAATATCCAATACCAACAAAAATAACTAGAAAAGGAAATTTCTCCAAACAACCCCTTAACAAGCCCATATTGGGTATGATGATAAACAATTACAATTAAATTTAATATTAGAAAATCTTATAAATCAAATTCAAGGCTTCAATTCTAGAGTCAATAGTCAAAGAAATCAATTTTCTTAATTGCATCAAGTAGAGGATATGCTCTTAAGATCATTAGAGAAGGAATTACCCTTGAGGTGCGTAAAAGTAACCCAAAAACATTGTAACTATCCAAACAAAAAAAAAAAAATAAAGTTTAGCTTTAGAAAAAGATGAAATTGATTTGAGGTTAACAATGAATGGAAAACATAGTACAAGGATTGTAATGAAAATAATTAAAGTACAAGGATGTTCGAATTGGGTTTAATCACAAAATAATTAAACTTTTGTATTTAGGATAAATAACTATTTTTTTTTAGATGGGGAAATTAAGGGAAAGGAGATTACATCATAAGAATTTAAACCATGATGGTACCCATGGTCTAAGGTGCACCCTACGAGCTGCAAGTGCGAATAACTATGTATCATGACTATTAGACCTGGTAAAATTAGACCCAATCCGAAAATCTGACTCAACCTATCAGTTATGAGTAGGGTCATGGGTCTTATGTGTTAATCCAAAATCCAAAATAACTCAAATTGAAATTATACGAACCTAAATGGGTTGGGTCACGGGTGAGTCAGGTTACCCGAAATGACTTGAGCTTTTTTTTATTCATTTTTATTAGATTACTTAAAAATTAATGTTAAATTTCTAATTTTCTATCCTAAAAGTAAAAATAAATAAAATACTCAAACCCTAACTTCTCATCAATTTCACTTTCTCTCAACTTTTCCTCTTCTCCCACTCTCGCTCTCCCCTTCTTCATCTCAAGCTCTCTAATTCTTCTCTTTCTTTTTTTTTTTTGACCA